AAGCACTCCATAGAATATTCCTTGGGCTTGATCTCACACAGATTCCTGTACACAAGTGGGCATGTGCTTGGTGGACCTGAGAGTCCCTGGAGAAGCTACTGCACGGATGTTCAGGATCTCACTCCACAGATTTCGTCACATGAGAGCGAGTGACAGGACAGAGATCTCCGGGTCAAATATTTTTTAAACCTAGATTGCTGTATCAGGCTGTAGCTCCACCACGGAGTCTGTGCAGAGTCAAGGTCTAAGTGACCAATTAACCCAGACCGATTAACCAATCCAGATACCTGCACTGGATAAAATCAAATAATACATAACAACAGGGTTATTTTTTCTAATAGTTTGGGGTGCTAGGTCACCTAGATCATTTAGTTTCTTTTCCTGAATCACACAGGACAGAGAATTTCATCTTGACTCAAGCATGGCAATATGGTCAGATATCTCACTACTGCACAAAGGAAAGAGAATGAAAGTGAGATTAACTGGTCTCAAAACTGCCAGACCTTGCGCAGCTCTGTTCTCTGCAGATGCTGTTTGAGATGCTGGGATTAGCAAAGACTGAAAGCATAGGCGAGCTGAATAACGTTTATGCAAGTTTACTGGCAGTGAACTGAGAAATAGTATTTACAGTCAGAGGTTTTTTACAGTTATCATTTCAGAACCTGCAGATGCTGGACAGCTTGTTAAAATGACTGTAATGGAAAAGAGAGAAGGGGGAGCAATAATTAGCCAGTGTAGGTACCTACAGCCCTTAGGCGCTTTCTGTCACTGTGGGGAGGGACGTGCTCCTGCCCACCAGGATGAGCTCCTGCCCCAGGGATGACGGCCCCAGAGATGTTACCTTCCTGACTTGACTGAGGTTTCAGGGGACTACTGGGCCTGTCCAACACCCATCAGATAGCAAACAGCTCCCACTGTATCTACGGTCCCACCTGCATGGTCTCATCCCCTCCTTTGCTTTGACTCTGAAATTCCCCTGGCTCTGTTGGCATGAACCAATTTTCTCTTTTTGTTGCCATGTCAGGCTTTTGCCGGCTCAGTGTGCCAAAACAGCTCAGTGTAGGACCAGACAGGAGCCAGAAATGGCACAAAGGAAGGGGTGGAGCGCAAGAATGAGGACTGGACTGCGTAGCCAGCCATTACAGCTTAAGTCACTGTGGAGCTACAGCCCAAATTTAGCACCTCCAGTTAGGGAATGTGAACATCCCACCATGCTGACTTCCCTGAGATGTAAACCAAGCCATTTTAAGTATATTTTACTATGCTGCAAGCATAGTAGCATTTGATTCTTAGCCATACAAACTCCCTAACAGACACTAAACAGAATACATAAAGCCTCACAGGGGAAAGAGAAATTACCAACTCGAGGCAGCACTGGATCCTAAAGGAAGTTGCAACATTAAAGATTCAGAGGAGAAAAAGGAATAAAAGCAGCCAAGCAGGCTTTAATCTAACAATGCTGTGAAGCAGTCATGTGCAAGGACGCTGTCAGCCTCTGCAAAGGTACAGTGGAACTATTAGCACGTTGTCAGTGTTTCTATCTTTAGAAAACTATTTAATCTCAATATTCAATCCACAGCATGTGACAGCATTAGAGGCCCACAAACTCTAAAAATGGTTATTCCTCATGTGAAGTAGAGGGAACTGAAAGGCCCTTCCTAACCTTTGGACAAGAATCCTTAATCAAAACTGCACTTGGCTCGGTCTTGCAAAAGCGTCATAAACATTCCCGCCAGGTACAAAATCCATTTATTCATCATTAACCTGGCACAAATGTAAAATAAATGAGAAATCACAGATGTAAAATAAATGAGAAATAATTTATTTGGCTACCCAAGAAAACATCCTTTCCCACAGTGAGTATACTCAAGCGAGTCTTGATCAATCTAACTGTACCCTGTCACACAGAAATGCCGCTATTAACTTGCCCAGGCTGTGCACAAATTAACGCGACCTAGCGACCAAGCACACAGCAGCAGTAGCTATAATAAAGCCTGGTACAAGGTCTGCACTCCTGTGGAGTGAAGTGGATGCAACTAACATCTCATAATAACTTCATGTCTGGAGCAAGGCCTGAGAAAGCTACATTAAAAATAGGTTCTTAATCAGAAGTCTAATAGAGCTTATTTTTATTCTATGAGGAGTTAAGAGTATTTGTAGGAAATGGTAGGAAAGGTTAACAATTCCTCCACGCATTTCTTGTCAGTCTTGTGCTCCACACAAATCACTGAGAGCTTTGAGAGCACAGAAGATCAAGTCTTCAGGTCAACGGCAAGTTTAAACTTTGCTGAAACAGCGCTAAAAAGTCAAAGCATCTGTCCATGTTACAGAGCTTTCCGTTTGCTCTCATCTGTGAATGCTACATCACACTCCTTCATAAGACCTCTTTTTGTCAAGGAAACTAGAATAGGTTTCTTCTTTTCGGCTAAACCTCTTATAAAATGTATTCCAATAACCTTTACAGTTACTAATACGTGTGTTATAAATAACATAGCTGCACAGAAATAGTCCAGACACACAGTAACTTCAGCTTTTTATGGTGTGTCATGGTACACTGTATACATTTATTCACTGAGATAGTGCAATACGGTGCTAACTAACAAAAACTTTTCAAAAAAGTTGCTTCTCCACTGCAAATAAATTTAATTTTCTCCTCTCCACACCTTCTACTTACACACAACCAGGTTTTGCCACTTTACTCGTGGCTGAGTAGTTCACTGAATTTAATCTGAGCAATGAATGATTTGCATCACCTCTACATACACACAAAGCACTTGCAATTGTTCTAGATACAATGCAAGATCCTCTCAATCTCTAAAAGATGTATGAATTTTTCCAAGTCAAACCATGTAGCTACTAGAGCCAAGATCATCTCATTGCACTACACTAGACTGGAATAAATTACAGTCCTTGCCCGAACACAGGTGTGTCTTTGTTTCTCTGGATGAAATATGACGTGGTTCTCCTCAATCTAGGCTGTTTACGTCACCCAAAGGACAAGTATGTCACTTTGCAAAGCTTCCAGCTACAAATGCTCAGGGACAGTCCATGTGAGTGATTTATGGCGTAGGAGGAGCTCTTTCGGGAGCAAATTTCACTCTGATCTATAACTAGGGTCTTGCAGTAGGCGATCATCCATAACACTCGTAACATGGATGCAGGGCCTTGCAGCAGCCAGCTCTCTGCACATGAGCAGCAGATGCCTGTGGCCAGAAACTGGCACAAATTTCACTGCTGGTGAAGACAAAATGTGGACGTGTGGTGCTGGAACCATAACAGATCATAGTAAATCAAACCCTTGTGCTCGCCTCTTTCAGTCGCCAGCTGGTAACGCAGATGTACCCATCAACTCAATTCTGATGTCTTTGTTTCTGTTAAAAGCCCTACTGATACTGAGGTCCACTCGTGTATTAGTGGTGTCATTCAATGCCCCTAAGCACTACCTATTTTTTAAAAACCTTATTTTGCAAAAAATTTACTTTATTGCTGATATATGCAGCCAGGATTTATGGACACTTCTGCTTGGGTAGGAGTAGTATTGGATTCTGATATCTTTATCTTGGAAATGGATCAAGATGCTGAATGTGTCTCAACTAACAGACCTGGAACCATAAAGATTGATTCTAATACTTTCAGGATTATTTATGTGATTACAAAACTGCTGCAAGGCAAGCTTTCAAATATTACAACAATATAGAAATGTTCCTATAAAGTATCACTTTAAAAGTTTTTTTGAACTTTACTTTAAAAGGTTCAATTCATTTAACTAGGATTTTTTTTGCAGATATAATCCTCAATGAATGGAATATTGAATGCTCTTTAAATCAGTTGATTGGGGATTTAATGTTACAGTGGCAAAAGGAGTTTTAGCAAAGAAAATACCTGATAGTATCTGACTGTAAAAGAAGGAGAAGGAGGACACTCTATCTTTGAACTGATCGTTCAATAGACTCTCAAAAAAGCAACTGAAACTCTTTTTTTAACAGAAACTGGTTATTACAAATTTTTTTGTTGTTTTTTTGGTTTGTTTGTTTGGATTTTCTTCCTGCAGTAAAACATATAAGCAATAACATACAAGCAGCCATAGCTAGGGGAACAACTGCCTGTCATAGCTCCTGTAAACGTTAATGTGATTCTTTCCATTGGGCTGATATTTCACTTTCTCTTGTCGCAGGATGTTGCTCCACAGGTATTCCTGGATCATATGGAAAATTACAGCACAAGATCTGAATGGTTTTTAAATTACGTGACTGTAGGTTCTTTTCTCATATGTCCTGGTATAGGAGAAGACTTTGGGACTGATTGTAAGAGGAAGATTTTGCTAATAATGCTTAGTGCAGTTTCCTTCTCTGTAGTCACATATTGATAGGAGGTATGCTAGGTGAAAAAGAAATAGAAGAAATGATAGGTTTGGTACCAGTCATTTTTCTAATGAATGGTCCATCTCGTACGTCAGCTGAGATACAGATCTGGGATTGCAGGAATGTGTGCAAAGTCGTGCCCCACTGGGACTCTGGGGATTGCGGCATGGAACCTAGTTTATTTTCCTCATTTGGAGCTGAACTGGACCTTAGACACGAACACAAGCAAGAAGAGGGGTTTAAAAACAATTATACAGCTCTGGTCCTTCTTGTTCACAAAATTGACATCATTCACATGAATGATCCCATTAAATCCACAGCATTATCTATTGCTCACAAAATGAAAGCCCATAAACCAGTTGACTATCTCTAACCAGGGATTTTTACACCTGTGCACCCTGGGACAAACTAAGAATGACATGGCTCTGAATGAATTACTCCTCTGTAGCTCTTCTCATCACCTTTCTCATGTAGACAAATGCTAGTGTTTACAGGATCAAGTTCTTAACTGAAAACGTTCACTGCCAATTCATGCAGCTACCATACAGAGACTATTGCCTGTCTTACGTGATATTAACAAAACCAGAGATCCTATGTCAAAATGTTTTAATGATACTTTAAGAAGCAAAACATGATGAATGTCACATATTGCCACCATCCTGAGATTGTGCTTTGCTACAATTAAACCACTAGTCAGGAGTTTCAGAATTTCCCAAATAAATGCTATTTTGTATTTAAAAAAATGATTACTCAAAATTCAGAAATGTAGCAGTCACTGTGTGAAAAATCACTTCCTTTTCTCCCCAAGTGTAAAATATTTCTCTATTGTAATAATGCAGTTTAATGCTCACAAAATCACAACAGACCAAATCCAACACCGAACTGCTGAGATATACACAAATTGTCTCCTTAGGACCATCACCCTGGAATTAAAACAATAAAATATGTTATTGATATTTCTTGTATAGTAGGAAAACTGCTTGTTATATTCAAAATAAGCCAATAGCTTAGTCCTCTGTGTATGCATTTCACCTTCTGCATCTGCTTTTTCAGCCTGATTTCAGACTGGGAGTCTCTGACATTTATTATACAGTATCGTAGTCTCACAAAATTCTCCTGGTTAAGCTGGAGTGCTTAGCTTGAGCACCACATAGCTTGAGCATCTGCTCTTTCTAAAGGAGGACTCCTTCATTCGAATACCCCTAGAACTGCTCAGACTTACCCCACCTGCTTCCTAAGCTAACCAAGGTTGGGTCTAACCAGAATCTTCATGGGACACATCCACTGCTAATCTGAATATGGATATGTTCTAAATTATATTATCTTAATCATATTTTGAAAGAGCTAGAGATTGAAATTATTCTGTTTCTTCAACAGGCTAGTTCTGGTGTGGAAAAACAAAACAAAACCAAACCCTTCTAGATCTGTAAATGCTTTTTCATTTGATTCGAAATCTAACATAAATTCTAATTTTATTTAATCTATATTTTTCTTTCTGGTGGGTTTTAACTAAACCAGAAGCAACTTTTCTCCACCTGTTTCATTACTGACATTATTCTTAACACTTAAACTTACTTAGTGGCTGAACACATAAGCAAAGTGCGCGCTTAAAAGCTATACTGCATGGGTACTAAAACACAAGACCTTTCTTTCAACGTTGTATACATCTAATCATTTCATGCTGGATAATATTTGCCCAAGTCCAGATAGGCTGAAATTTGGCTGCCTGACAGGAATCCAGAGGTGTCCTTATTTTCAAAATGTGGTATCATTTTTCTCAAGGTAATTAAAAGTGAATTGTGGGGCAGTTCATATTTCTCTAGCCAGAGTGAGACACCACAAGCATAAAAGAATTTCAGCAGAATTTAAGCTCATGTTGGTATCCTACTGTTATAAATAGGCTATTTATAACAGTATTTATCACTTATTTGGATTGCAGCAACTTTCAAGGTTAAAAAAAAGATCACACGCTGACAGAGTTTGGAATAAAATGATTCTCTTTGATATTAATTCCTGACCAAGTAAGCAGGCAGTCGCCTGCTTTACAGGATGCTGCCCTGCCAGCTCCACCTTGAGTGGAGGGCTGCACTGCTGCTCTCTCTGTCAGAAATAGATGGCTTTTAATCATCTGGTTGGAACTAAAAAGCCCAGTCCCAGTTCTTACCTTCCAGGTAAGATACACTCACACTCAGTCGAAGGCTCAGCAGTTTTTACTCCCGAACCACCAGCACACCTCTGCTCGAGCTCTCCTCCTTCAGTCCTTTTGCTCGGACGATTGAGCACTATTCCCCACACTCAGGGAGTCTCAGTCTCATTCTTACTTTCTACGCTTTTTTCTGTTGACTGACTCCTCTGAGCAGCTGCTTAATGTTACGGTGCTGTATGTCAAAGGAAGACATACTCATCTTCCCTGCTGTCTCTTTCTAGCAAGCAGAAAACCTGATGGATTTTTGGTCAGACAAAATTTGGATTTTAACCAGGCTTCTGGGCAATCAAATTTTTGCCAGTCTGATTAATTTATCATCTGACAATTTTTCTAATCAGATTTTTCTGTCTATTTTTAAATATGAATCAGGCCATTTCCCCTCCTTGAGCTTATGTTTACTTGAAGCTAATGACATGCCCTTCAGGCTTAATCAGGTTAAACCAATGAACAAACAAGACCTCCTTCAGTTGTGGGGCCACAGCAAAAATTATTTGGTAATTTAATACAAAATAATGAAGATCATTATTTTAATTACATTTCAAGATTTTGCTGATGTCTCATTTTCCATTTTACCAGCTGTGATAGGTACACATCCACTTTAGTGAAGACATGTACATGTCTGTTGAGCATAACCATAAAGGTGAAGGAGCGGATGTTAAGGCAGATGGAGTTTCCTGCATTGTTCAGCAACAGCTCTCAAGGGCTCTCATACCTGACAATTCCCTCTATCCCATAAGCAAAGTTCACCTTTACAATGGCAAAGATGGTGTTTAAGAGCAATACTGCCAAAATGATTCACTGGGATGCAGTTATGCTCTCCCTATACTGTGCCAGAACCTGCTACCTGCTTGCAATATAGGTGCTGGCAGCAGAGCAGCTTCCTTCACTTCTTATTTACAGCAGCAAACTTCTGTGTCCCAGTGACGTGTGAGGGAAGTTCTGCCTGAGACTTCTGCGGGCACCCAGTGGTGTAAGGGACCTTCAGCTACCCACTAACAGGCAAAAGTGCACAGCAGGGAGAAGAACATAAAAGGGAAATTGAAAAGGCAAAGGATATTGTTCAATTTTTAGAAAAAGTCATCTTCAGTGAAATACACTCATAGAATTTCAATTATCTCTAATAGTTGATAATAATAGCAGAATGGTAGCTCACACTGAAAGCATTCTATTTCTTTGGTTTTAAAGGGCTAACTTTTCTCTTTGTAAATATAAGTGATTAACATAGTGGAGAAAAATCTTAGGGCAGCACAACTTATCCTTCTGGTTGTTTTTTTCTTTACAGCTTATTTTGCAAATTTGGCCACAGAAGTGATTTTCAGTCTGCCAAACATGGACAGCATTTAATTAACACATACAGATGCTTAAACATTTTTGTGGCTTCTATCTGCTTCTCTCTAGATTAAATATTTATAAAGAGCTGCCTTTCATTTTTTTAGCTGGTGGTGTTGCTACAGTTAAAATTACATGGTATGTCTCCAGCAATTTATATTATAGGAAGAGTAAATACAATGGAAACTGCAGGGTATAAACACCTTAGCCACCACATACATTATGTATTTCTTAACGTTTCCAATATGCTGCAACTTTTTACAAGCAAAAAAGCCTACCTGAGCCACATAAAACTGCATACACATACACACACCTCCTCTCAGGTAATCTCCTGCTATGGACAAGGAGAATGGATTCACTAGATGGCTTCTAGGTCTCTTCTCACGTATTTTATATTATTCTAATAATACATGAAAGCAGTTCATTTTTCTATTTCTTCAAATAAACTGAATAAAATTGTGCCTTCTTGGTACTAGCATCTGCTAGTTTAAAACTTAGCAGTCTCCTACGATGAACCAAGTGTGAATGTATCTTTGATAGCATGTTTTCTAAATACCATCAAAGGGAACAAGATGATGCTATTTTAATTTATTTAATTTGAGTAATACAGTTGTGAGATTACATCAGTCCAATTAAAGCATATTGTGTGCAATGGTAGTTCTACCGTACATTTCACTTACTGTTGTATTAACTTGAACCCCCTGGAAAAATAGAGTTCTGCGAAAGGCAAATCTGACAACAGTATTGTGAGCTGGGGAATTTCTGAGTTAGCTTAAAAGATGAAGAAGTATTTATACAAATAGGTCTTATTTTGTCTACAGGGCAAATCAAGATTGAAAACATGCAGACAAATCTTTTCAAAGTCATCTGTAATCTGTATGGTAAATTGGCTCAAGGTCAGAGGCCAGACTCTGGGCTGCATTTCTCTGAGGCAATACACAGAAGGTAGAGGTCCAAGGGGGACTGGACAGTTAGAAAGGACAGAGGGAAGGGAATGACACTTCATCCTATATTTTTAACTCCCAGATTCTGAGCTGCCTCAAGGTAAAATCCTCAGCAAGATCTGCTGTAGTGTATGGCGGCTTCCTCACTGCTGTCCACAAGCTGTTCTGCAGCCCAGGGCTGCGAGAGCATACTGCTCTAAACTTATCTTTACCTGACAAGAGGGAACAAGGGCACATATGCGTGCTACTCCTTCATGGGGCAATCTTAATCCTTACTTTGGCCTCTGTATACATCTGGAAAGGCTGTGCCAGGATTAGATGTCTTCTCTTGTAGATCATAGTGTGTGACTGCCTTTAATAAAGCAATTCACAAAGGAGGTTGGTTCATGGGAATTGATACCAAACCAAACATAGGTTGGTAGAGACACATATCTGAGATAAGGAGACACTACCGATTGACTGTGAGTTATGGTGATAATATGTATTTAGCTATGCTCCCCATCTAAAGTTCACAACTAGAAAACATTTCTGAACTCTATGGTACATTATATTTATTCAGAAAACTCCAACCTTTCACTTATTTATGAACACAACTTTCACTGAGTGTAAGATAGAAATGTCTCTCTAAGGAAGAACAGACCCGCACTGTTCGCAAAACAAGTTTTCCCTCAACCCGTTACTTAAATAAAGACATTTTATGTAGTAAGAATGTGACCTACCTTTTTAGCCTGATTCACATTTACTAAACTGCAACTTCAAAATGCCTTTGCCATGAAGCTGAAGGATCTGGTTGTATTCTTTGGGCATCGCATGGAAACCTGGTTTAGGCAGCTGGTTGTCATAATAGTGGTGGCTGATTGGCATCTTCTCTGTGGATTTTGAGAAAGGCCAGAAGCCATAGAGCTTCACATTCTCACACAGCTCAAGAGCAGCACTAGTGATCATAAAACCAGATGACAACCGGTAGGCTTTCACACCCTTAGTTCTCCAGAACTGGGCAAGACTTTTCAGATAGGTGGGGTGAAAAAATATTGCCCTTTGGGCTGCTTTGAACTCTTGCAGAGTGTGATATACTTTAAAAGAAGTGGCTGTGTTGCTTCTGAAGGAAAATGCTGGCAATAAAAGGAAAGCATCTCCATAGACCGCAATGTTCTCCAGAAATTCTGTCTTCTTTTCATTTAGTTTGTTGTATCTGCAAAGTACAACATTTTAGGAAAAGAGTGAATGGAATGTACTATTGATATAAATATTACAGACCAAAACAGCACAACTGCACTTGCATATATGAGTTATGAACTCTGCTGCACCATGTCAGCATGTCTACATTTCAAACTTATACCAACCTGTTATATGTTGTCATATGTGCGGTTATGAAAATCTGGCTTTATTGTATAATAAGAACACACTCCATAGGATTGAATTGGCAATATGGGAGCTACTGAAGCAGATCAAATTCACTGCTAATGAGACCAGGTCCTGTTTACAGAATTGACCGATTCAAGAAATTTCAAAGGAGAATGCAAAAAAAAATCGTATTTATACTTTCTCTGTTTAAAAATACATGCACTATGATATGCACTGCATGTGTTTGTGAAATGTGTTTCTTACATTGATAGGTGTACAAAAACCCCTCTTCAAAATCTGGGTGTCTGCCCTGTGTGGAAGTACAAGTATGCATGTAAGCAGTCTTGGAGTGTTAAAGATTAGTGTGTGCTCGAGTTTTGCAGGGTCTTAGCTACTTTTGATATACTTTTAAAGTAGCTGAAAATATAGGCACGTCTTTATCTCCTTCGACCACAAAGGGAACACATGGAGATCTGTAAAGACTTAGAGATCTAACTTTACAAATTAAGAGGATTTATCCTTAGATGCTTTGGTTCCCCAACAACCAGCAAAGAGACTTAGTTCTCACCATTGGATAATTCCATGCTCCCAAATATTGAATAGTGAACTTCCAGAGTTATCCAAGAAGCGATACAAGACAAAGGGGGTCACTCAACTCGTTTCCTCTATAGATCTGAGTTGTCTGAATCACCTGAACATATGGCACTTGCACCCCATTTGGGATTCAAAGCACTGAGTCCTCTTTTGTAGGTAGTTGCTTATTTGAGCAGTGTATTTTCACCTTTTAAGGGCTATCAGAGCCCACTTTTCACAAATGGCTCCAGCAGAAACTGGAAAACTTGGTTTCATTTCTCTTCAGAACTTGAGTAGGTTCAAACCCTCTTCTCATGCAGCACTTCAAGACAGAGGACAGCAGCCACTGCCATTTCCATTCAAAACCCTCACAGAGGAGTTATCAGTTACCTCTTGGACAACTGAACTCATGCAAGGAGTGATACACCCCTCCTCAGCCTGAAGGGGTTTAAACTTACAGCTTCTGCTTCCCAGAAAAGTACCATTACCACCAGACTCTGAAACAAAATGAATGAGAGAGACTCAGCCCCTCCTGTTGACCCTGGGCCCCTGTGCATGCAAGAGTCACACCGCCAAAACAAGCAAGAAACAGCTGAGCCTATATCTAGGAAGAGTGACTGAAAGTGAACTTCTAGCCTCTACTCCAAGAATTTTCTCTATTTCTGCTCAGTGTAAAGTACATAAAGAGCCTTCAGGACAGAATTCAGATCTCCGTTCTTCTTTATCCAGAAGCCTGAACAACTCAACCTCGTCTTGTTTTCCTTTCCAGCTCTGCCACTGCGAGCAGTGTAGCCCAGCTCCATTAGGACACATAAGAACTGTGCTTCTTTCCTCCAAGAGAGTTCACCTACATTGTATACCCCGACAGACACAGTTCAAAAGCTGATTAACCTTAACAATAGTAACATCAGACTAACCCAGTACCCAAACACAGAATTATAAATTAAAGTGAATAAAGTCAGAATAGGTCTTCTGAGAGAAGAAACAAACTTAGTTCGGCTAAATGGTGCCAAGTTGCTTCCTGCTCCTCCTTCAAAAGCATTGACAGTGTTCTCTGAATATTTAAATAATTAATTTTTTAAAATCCTAAAGTCCTCTCTCAATCTCATTTCGTCCTCACACAGTTTTAGCTCCTATTGCCTTCAGTGTAACTCCTATTAACCCTATGTGGCTTAATTTGGCTAAAAAAAGAGTGCAGCTGTGGCAGAATACTTTGATCAAGCCCAGACAAATCGTGCACCAGGTCAGTAGTCACCAATGATGCTGAGTCACTGGACAAAGTTTTCCTTCCTCATATTCTTGTGCAGCCCCGCTAACATCAATGAACTAAATCTATTTTTGGGGAAGCAATAATTCATCTTCATTTAAGTCAAAAAGGGCTGGGTAAGCATCAAGGTAGTTAGTACTCATTGCAAAAAATCAAGTTCTATCCTTGAATCAATGACAAAAGCCTGTTAGTCATTTCTATGCTCACTGTACTTTTTCCTTCTTCCTTTAAAGGGAAAAAAAAAAAGCTTTGCCTGATGTTTTCTATTTGACAAATACAGATATGACAGACAAATAAGATACAGTAAGATCAGTAAGCAGTAAATAACATGCCACAGCAGTCCTTTTCATAGATAAGCTGCAGTTCCAGCCTGCTGAAGATGTCAGATTAGTCAGCCCGGCCTTATTAGATTTTCTTTTCATCAAGAAGGTGAAAAAAAAAACTTTGCTGAGAAAAAAGTATGTGAGCAGCTTTCGTATGGATTGAGAAAATGGATTACAGAAATTGGGCCTCCATTCAGGAAATAGCCTTCATCAGAATAGCCTCTAAGCACATTACCTAAGAACATGTGCTTAGAGTCCTACTGATAGAGTTGGACACACATTTCCAAGCTTTCCCGATTTATGATTACAATTCCTTTCTTATGTTGGGGGTCATGAGGGTCACGGGGGGGAAAAGAAGAGGTTTGGGCTTGCAATCATCAATTTTACTCTGTCATAAATTGTGGACTGGTGCCAATCAAGGCACTTGCTCATCTGGGTATTGCTGACTCCTTTCTGCTACAAAAAAGGCCAGGTTTAACAGATTTCCATTTAGACTGGTACATATTTTACATGGGAACTAGGGCTTAATGAAGTAATCTGCATGCACTGCTCTCTATGCTGGTATCCCAACAGATTTCCAACAAAATCTAAATCATGTCAAACAATTATACAATATTGCACAGAAACAGATTTGTAGTAGTACTTACTTCTGAGCTATGATACTTGGATTAACAGTCACAAGGTTTGTTTTATTGCCAACATCTTTGCTAATGCTTCCCATGGTTGGAGGGAGGTTACACCTGAAATTGAGAAACATTACTTAAAGAGATGTGCACCAGAAATGCTTTACAGTTATTATTTGCAAATTCCTCTCTTGTGCAATGACACTTTCACGTCAGCTCCCAGGGATCTCTAAGCACTTTACAAATATTAAATAAGGCTTACAGCACTTCTAGTAAAAATATTTAATCTACTGTACAGATGGTTAAAATAGGGCACAGAGAGCTCATTTTCATAAATCATCTCACAAATCAGGAGCAAAGTTAAAATCCCGGAAGGAGCCAGTCTATGAATGTCCTATGGTCGCTGCTAGGGAGTACTGCCCCTCTTGCCTAAACAATGCATTTCTTCTGAAAGTCTTCTATTATTTTCGGTTTAAAAACAGTCTGATTGATAGCAGTCCCTCAGCTTGCACAGCGATGTTGACAGCTGTTTCATGAGACAACAACAGCATAACTTGCCCAACCGCAGAAACAGTGTTTTTTGTAACAGGTAAAGCATTTTTTAAAAATCAGTCACTTAGTAAGTTTAGCATCTTGGTATGTAGATTTCCCATTTTTATTAAGACAGTTATCTAACTGGAAAGACTTTTTTTTTCCTTAATTTGAAAAGCCCAAATATTAGTCAAAAGCAGGAAAGGAAACAAAATGCAGCAGACTGTGTGACTGGACATCACTGAGAGAAGAATCTTCACTTGGTTACTTTGTTCCCTTGCAGGAACTACAAAGTGTGAGTCACGTACTGAGAGAGTGGGCCAAATTACACTCTGAGTATGCCTGGTTTTCTCTACAACCTATAGAGGAAGCTGAAAAAACCTACTTAAATTAGACGCCTAATTTTTTAGATGGCTAACAGCAGGTGCGACAAATACTGGGGCAGTTAAATAACTGCATTAGTGAGCCAATCTAAGGCTAAGTAAACCCTTTGTTAAACCAGAGGTAAAGGTAAACATGTGACATTTAATACCAGTCTTTCTTATTTCAGTTTCAGCGTTTTCTTTATTCTCTTGTCCTGATTTAAAAAAAAAAAAAAAAGAAGGAAAAAAAAAAGTTCCCTCTCCTAAAGGATGTTAAATGAACAGAAATTTCAGGTTCTCAGATAATCACGTTTCACATCACTGGCAAGGTATCTTTGCAATCATAGATCATACATGTATCCATAGAGTCCTCTCTTTACTTAGGAAGCAGCATTCTGAAATCTACAAAGCAGAAGGACTATCCTTAGAGAGGCAGAAATAAAGAATTGTCAAATCCTTCCTCATCGCTACAAACTTGCATTGGCATGCTTCCAAGCCTGCCAAGTTTTTAGAAACATTAGACACCCTTCAGTAAGACGAAGCAGCTCTTACCTAAACACAAAGTCAGAACGATCGATTTCAGCTCCGCAGCTGGAATTTTTCAAAATGCCTCCATTTCCAACCACGGCACAGGTCTTGAAGGGATAGACTGAAAGAGGAGAGGACTGCAAACAAATAAAAAGACACAGCCTATGCCTTATAAATCTTTTGATTGCTTCTTCGCATCTTTAGTCATTTGTCCTTGCAGGTTTAATCTGGTAAATCCCAGTAAAAGCATACACCATTTAGCAGACAGGGTTGCCAAGAGCCAAAAATAGGCACCAGCAGACTGAGAACCGCTATTTCTGTCATCAGTACTTTGAGGGAATTGGAACACTGGATTGTTAAAACTGGATGCTTAACACAAAAATTATGTATGCTTAACACAAAAATTATTTAGTAGTGGACTGAATCCTTGACAAGCTAAGGAGCTAACTTGTACTGAAGATAGTTTAAATTTACCCATTTTCCTTTGCACTGTAACAGACTGGGGATTGTTACATACTCATTGACTTTGTCAGCTAATAGAAGGTAACTTTGTAAATGCTCATTACTTTGTCATCACACAATTACATTTGATGTAAAATAACGAATTTAGGGGAACCTGAAGATGCTGTTAAGGATAATCACGTTCCCTGGCTTAACTCATGGTGAATGTGACGGCTAACTGAAGAGCTTACTGTTTCTGGCTGTTCACCCTCTCTACTCCTTGTTAGAGGTTGCTGTCTTGCAATGGGGAAGCTGAATGGAAGCTAAGTGCATCCACTTGTGAACCAGCAGAGATCACAATCTAGCAAATTAATGTAAATTGTTGGCTATTTCAGCTGACATTAATATAGTTGGCTGTTATCCGAGGGTCTCAGAAACATCTCATAGATCTTTTTCAGCCTCTCCTCTGTGGGAGCACTGACATTCAACAGAGAGACCAACAGCTGGGCTACTTTGACTGCAGAAATTGAACCCAGTTGTAAAATTGAGTCAAAACTTGCTCACACAAAGTGTTATCCCTCCTCAGTCTCTCATCAGCTTGCCCAAAGAGAAGCAGGAAGGGACACGGTTATGAACAAGGCAGAAAGTGTGGGGAAGGTGGCAGACATCACGTTGCCTGGCAATATATTACAAAACAACATGTTCAAATATTTTGTCAATTCTGAAAAGACAGTAGGAGAACACAAAGGCCAGGCAACTCTGGCTAGCTTAGCAAGTATATACGCACATAAAACATACTACTTTTTTCTCTCATTCAGTTTAAATTTGGAACCACTATAACTCATACTGCAATGAAGTTTTTAGTGATTCACAACAGCATTAGAAAGGACTAGACTCATGGTAGTTGAGATCTCACAAATCAAGAATGCCAGAGACGGGTAAGAGGGCTCCCATGTGCTCTTACTTTCAAGAAATTAAGTACATCTCTGTGCCCCTCTTTGGTCTTCAGAGCTTATAAATCCAGAGCTACAAAATCTGATTCCTTTGCTCAACCTATGTTTCTGGCTGCAAAGGCCCCACCCCACTGGGCAGCAAAGCTGGTGAAAGAGCTGGAAGGAATGTCCTATAAGGAGTAGCTGAGGACTTTGGGTTTATCTAGTTTGGAGAAAAGGAGGCTAAGAGGCGACCTCATTGCTCTCTACAGCTTCCTGAGGCGGAGAAGTGGAGAGGGAGGTGCTGATCTCTTCTCCCTGGTATCCAGTGATAGGATGTGTGGGAATGGTCCAAAGCTGCGCCAGGGGAGGTTTAGACTGGACGTTAGGAAGCATTTCTTTACCAAGAGGGTGGTCAAACACTGGAACAGGCTTCCTTGAGAGGTGGTTAATGCCCCAAGCCTGTCAGTGTTTAAGAGGCATTTGGACAATGCCCTTAGTAACGTTTTAACTTTTGGTCAGCCCTGAATTGGTCAGGCAGTTGGACTAGATGATCACTGTAGGTCCCTTCCAACTGAAATAGTCTATTCTATTCTATTCTATTCAGTATCAGGTTTACCACCAATATAGTCTTCATAAGTTATATGCCCAAGCCTGCACCGGAAATGGCATGGAAATACGAGGAATATGAAATGTTGTTCCAGGCTGAAATGCCTTTGAAACTGGGAATGAGAAAAGCAAGGCAAACGTTCTCAGAGAATTCACTCCTTAATTCAGCTGGCTGCCAAGCCAGGCTGCAACTTGTGTTCTGTAGCAACTCTACCTACAATCTGATCTATGACACCCTGCCCATGCCTCCACCACTGCAAAAGAAGGCAAAAAAAAAGGTCTTACAAGGTGAACGAAGAAGTGCATACAGGGGGTGAGGGGTCTCTTCCAGAGGAATCAAACAAAGCAGCTCTCTCAAAGCCCAAAATATATATGATACTGCAATTATAATAACAGTAAAGATACAGTTCTTACCACAGGCAGCATCTTAAAAATGTCCTCTGTAATGAGGATGGTCTTTTTACTGTCCACTTCGTAACTCATGTTACTTCCCAGAGGGGTGTTGTTTTGAGAAGCAATAAAATTGTCAACTGCATCACAGCAGGAAGCTAATTCTGACCTGCAAAAAACCCAAACAAAACCTGCTCAAAGACAGGAGCGCGGTGGTAGAGAACTAGATGAATGAAAACCAGTTCTAATTAACTAAGCAACAAAGTTCAGTTCCCTTGACTTGCTTTGCAGAGCAAGTCCATTTTCACTTTCGTGAAACTAACGTTCAGAAACTAATCAGACCAAGAACTCCTTTTCTTATCCTGTTTTTCGCTCTTGGTCTCCCTTTCCCATCCAGAAAAAGTTGTAATCTGTCTTCTCCTTATTATTAATTGTTAAGATTATTATAGAAACACTGAGTGACTTCAGTCCCCAAAGAATTAACAATGTGATTTCAATCAACATAGAACGAGTGATTGTAAGAAACTAGAAGGCTGAAGAAAGAAAGAACCAAGGCAAGGAAAGGAATGGTGATGGGAAGTACTGGCTATAGTACTTAGTGAACAGCTAGATGGCTGCAAGCCAATTAATTAATAATTCATTTCTGCAACTGTTCAGCACAGTTTTCCTGTGCACAGTATCACAGATGTTAAATAAATTACATCACAACTTGCAAATAAAGAAGATGGGTATCTTTGTGGTAGAGACAGACAGCCTAGCTGCTCCCCGAAACACTGAGCAACACTTAGCAGAAGTCCTTAAATAGATGAGTGCAAGGGATTCACTCAAACTTTATGTAGGAGTGAAGGCTATCACCCATCTTACAATTCCTGTTACCTCCAAACTTACGAAAATATTATGTGTGTAAACATCCTATGTTATTAACAGTGAAATGCAATGAAAAACCCCATCAGACCTGAAACACTCTAATTCGTTTTGCTTTAGGGAACAATGTTCTCTCTGCTGCCACTGGATCCAATTTTCAGTCTGTAAGGCTGAAATATTCATGGCCAGCCATTATCTATCAATTGGTAGCACGTAGCTGTCTCATTAGGTGAGATACTAAAAAACTACTAACCATTTAGAGAATACAATTCATTGATAACAGAATTGCTTGGAATTTTGAAGAAGATAACACAGCAGGGAAAAGATAATAATTCCTGTCCTAACACTGAAGGTTAATTGTGAGGAAAAAAAATAATATATTTACAGTTAGAGCCAAAGGAAAAGTTTTATTTCATACTTTTTCAGTGAGTATGGTAAACCAAACCGTTGTAACTAGTTAACCAATACAGGTCAAATTCTGTATTAAAGCTGACTTTAATAAGGTAAGACAGGTAAGAGAAGTGGCTTCATTTGGCTTTATCAACAATGTACGCAGAGCAAATATTCTAATAATAACATAATTTTATTTCTGATGGAGATGAGGCATAGTCTAGCACATGGAAGAACCCAACAACTTTCTTTCCTGGAAGACAGGGAAGAGAATTAACAAGTCTGGGACAACTCCCAGTCTCACTTCTCTTGAAATAATGGTCAAAATGGGGGGAAAAAAAGGTTGGGAAGGTTGGTTTGATTCATACATAAAATATCAAAGGAAAGGGTACCATTTCAATTGTCAGATGGCTTACTGGTATATATTAACCCATTTTGAATACTGAGCTCTGAAACTCCTCAAAAACAAAGCTTCCAGATGTGTGAGGAACACTGCAAATGACTGCTGGGATGGCAGAGATCTGAAATAATCATACTAGGAGAGCTACCAGGAAATGATAATGGGAAGTATTACTCCTGAGAGAGGAAACAGTAGGGTTCAGATTTGCGCAAGCCATATTCAGCTCCACTCCCTGAACACAGTGATTCCCACTGCCTTGCTTGAAGCCTTAGGGGGCAGGGACAGTCTCTGGTCAATGAAAACTACTAGGTACAAGGGTGGGGATGGAACTGAGACTATGCTCTTGTGGGTCAGGAGGTGCACACGTGGTGAAAACAATTGCTCTGGGCATATAGTGTCCTATTTGAAACATATGGAAAAATACAAATGAAGCAATGAAGCAGGAGAGTCAAATGATTAAGACTGGAAACACTGGATGTTATTGAACCACTCTTGACTAGAGTCCACTTGCTTTTCCTTCTTGCACACTTCTTCCTATAACCAGCTCTTTCTAACTTTAATATGTACTGCAGTAATAAGAGGATTCAGGTATCACTGTCAGGCCCTGAGGGCACCACCAGACTTCACTACCCCTGCCCAGCCCACCGCCAGGGCCACGCACGACCTGCCCATGGCCCAGGACCCCATGTCAGTCCCCCGGCGCCTTCAGTCGCTGCCCCAGTGACACCGCAGCAGGGCCAGTCTCCAGCTGTGCCCATCCCGCCCCCAGGGAGGTGCCCGATGCCCGGGGCTAGGGCTGCCCCACTCCTGGCTGGGGGTGGGATGGGCCTGACTGCCAGTCTCAGCTCTGCTGGCCACGTTATTGTGCTGCGATCCCACTCCCTGTCCCTTAGGGAGCAGTTGTCCCTCACTGCTCCCTGGCAATCACATGGAGATGAGGAATCACAAAAAACATAATTTTGATTTCCTTGAATTTTTTCTTAAAGCTAAATGAAGCAGGCCTAAATATTATCTGTGTCAACCACGGCACATTCAGAGGAGAAGGAATGAGGCCAGAACATTCTTGCCCAGCTTTAGTAAAACAGCTGTTTTGTGTATGATGGCTACCAGAACCTGAAAAAGCAAACTGATGATAGATAACATTCATCAATACAGATGACACATTTTTGCTTTTTATTACTCATTCCACAAGAACAAGTGCTTCAATAAAAGCAGAAAGAGTCTGGAAGAAAAACAGGTATCAGAATTAATGAGAAAGTAATAGTTTAAATTAATATTATGGATCCACTGAGGAAGTAAAACAGAGCCAGGCTAGTTCAGAAACGCAGTGAGAACAAGGGAATACATATTGATTAATGATATATTATTCTTATGTTACCTAAGAGCATACATGCTAAAAATTTGGAGGCAACAATAGAAACCTCTTTCTTAGATCAAATCATGACACAGAATCCCACCATGCCCAAGCATCCATGTACAAAGCTCCAGTGGGAACGCATGTAACCTGCAGACAATAATACCCATTGGCAATATATTTAGCCATCTGTTCATATAGGATTTTGTACAAGCTGTGACACATGGTACCTCTACAACTGACAGCAAACAATGAAGAAGGGGTAGAGACTGGGCAGTTCAAACAATCTATTACTGCAATCATCATCATAGTATTAATGTCATATGTGGCCTCTGTCATGAGGTAATGACACCCTAAAGAGCATGTACTTCATAAGATTATGACATGTATCACACAGTTAATTCTTTTAACAAGTGCTATATGTAAGGTGTTGCAAAGCCAAGACAACATTTTAACTTGTGTATCATGCCACCCGGGGAGAGAGAAATTGTTAAAACCTACCACACAAAGAAGTTCCTAACCAGATGGTGGGATAAGAGACAAGGGTCAGAATCTTAACAGCACCAAACAGCACTACCTTAAAGCCGAACTCTGCATTTTCTTTGGAAGGGTAGAAAGTGATCCACTTGTCTGTTCTGACCGGGAGAAAACACTGAGATATGGGGGATTCTCTTGGAAGATGGGATGTTGCTACACAGGCTGAGCACCCACCTCAGATATGTGTAAGAACATGGATGTAGCTTACAGTAAGAAGGTTTAAGATCCAGTGGTTAACAGAGCTGCTAGAGTTGGGGGTTGCCCTAGAACAAAGTGTTTTTATGATCCTGTCACAGCATTAGAAGTCCAGAGTGAAGAAAGCTGGAGTCAAAGTACCCAAGTTTTGTAGGGCCCTAGGTTTGGAAAGTATCTGCTTTGGGGTACAGGTTGGTACTGCCAGTTTCTTATTTGGAGGAAGCCTTCTCTCCAACATTTCTCCTGCAAGTAGCTGGAAGCAGAGTGAGACTTAAGAGCTATTTTTAAATCCTGAGGCATAACATCAACCACAGATATTTCTTATGCCAAGATAAGCAGAAAGGCAGTTGATTGTATTATCTGGAAATTTCACTTGTAACAAATAAGGAACAAAATCAGTACCTGGAAAAAGACTACACCATTCAGACTGGTAATACATACCTCATAAAACTGAGTAAGTACAGTCATGACAGTCTTAATCAATAATCTAACCAGAGTGGTGTGCTGCATTTGTCTGTGAAGTTTTGTTCATATTAGACATTGACAGAGTCATTGTTGCACTGGAGAACTTTTTTTGTTGTTCAGCAGATGCTTTCGCTGAATTTTGTCCTTTGTGGACCAAGGATGCTGGACCCATTTTTGTATTGAGGTCAGCTGGGATGGAATTCGGAGCCCACATGGCATCCAGATCATTTCTTCAGGTTTGTGGCTGCTGAGAACTTAAGAAAATCCTGGTTTCTGAAGCAATTCATCAGAATAACGTTGTTTTCCAACTGCTATGCAGTTAGTCCACACTGAACTGGGCAGTAATTGATTGTACATGTTTCCAAATCCCTCTGCATAACACAAGCACTTCACATGAAAAGTCCACTCTTTTGTTAGAGTACACTGTGACGCCAGTGCCTGTAGACCTGGGGCAAGAGGTCATTCTTCATTGCTGAGGACAATGTGAAATATTTCACTGTCATTATACATTGGACTAAATTGAGGTGGGAGGAGAGGAAAAGTGGATGGGGATGGACACTGCAGAAGTATCAAAATATCCAAAATATTGTTCTAAATAGGAGATGCTCAACTGCACTCTAAGGCAGTATTAGGAAGCACACTGAAACAGGTTGCCTAGGCAAGGTGCAGAATTTCAATGACTGGAGATTTTTAATAGATATCTGGCCAAACTTCTTTCAGTAATGGTCTAAGTCCATTTGATTCTAAGTCACCTTTTATAAACATCTGTACAAGCGAATATTTGTTTGCAAAAAGAATATCATATCAATCCTGTTATAAAGCATTTGCACATTGTCCACACCAGCAATGCTTACAGACATATCTCTTTGTGGATCTTCAGTTACCCAGCACGCATAAACACCACATAAAAAAAAACCCAAACACAAAGACTATCAAATATTTAAAGCTGTAACTCCTGTAAGCC